CGCGCCTATATTGCAGACCATCCGGCCTCTTAGACCCTGTGTCGGTGAGTAGATGTGGAGGGTCCCACACGCTAACGTCCCAGAGCTCGGATGGGACTCCTTGATTATCTATTGGCGGCGGTCCCCTAGACGCGATCTAGGATCGACTTGGATATAGAAGATTACTAGCTTATGAACCTTGATGAGCCGAGCTAATAAAGCTGATATCAAACTGGGAGAGTAATAACTAGCTTAACTTGAGATTGCGACCTTTGTAAAGGGCCGAATTATTCCCCTATCAAGAGTCTTTAGAATACCAAACTTATTTTTCCTTTTGCCACAATGGCTCCTGGACACGGATAGGCAAGATTTCCTACAAACCGATCGTATCAACACGTCGATAGCGTTGATAGTTTATGTTGGTGAGCTTTATTGAAGCTTCTTCCATTTGACTACGCGGAGCACGCGGGATACACAGGGCAAAGCATGGTGCATTAGCGTTGCTCGTCGCGTTTCGTTCGTCCATTGTCCGTTGCGTATGCGCCAGCAATAAAACATCAATGAAGATCACAGCCATTTACGGATTTACCTATAGATGAGGTAACTAGGCGAACCCGAGCTGACGATTAGCCTCATGGTCATGGTCTCGCTAACATGGAATTTCCGCTCGGAACAGGCCTTGCCCGCGAATCCCGCCGCTGACGCCGTCGAAATTCGGGAAGGGCTTTTCGGGAACATTCGCCACTCTTCTCGTACCAACCACGAACCTCTACCCTACCTCCTTAGTATGTACGTACCCTTACCCCTGTTCTCCGTGCACAGCCGGGTCGTAAGCCATATTGTGGCTGGAGCTATGACCTCTCATAAATCCCTGTCGCATGACTTCATTGGTTGGCTCAAATCCAACTTCATTCTTTAATGTTCTAACTTTACTTATTTGCCACTTCGCAACGACAAACATTGCGAGGCTCGACACGAATCTACGAGATTTCCATAGGCATTTCTTAAAAATTCCTACAAATACGATTGAATAATTAGTCAGGAGGCAATTCGAATACGAATATTTCTCCATGATGTCAGCCACTTTTGTACGATCCGGCGACGTACGCACACCGCATCCTTGGCAATCGTTCGTCACGTTTGTCATAATGGCCCGGACTCCGGAGCAATCATGGCATAGCCTTCTGGTTTCCGTCGGTAACTGGACGTCGGATAGTTTGCCTGTTCCGTAGCCGTATGTCTCGCTAGCCAGCCCTACCTTAGTCCGGCCACTTGGATGTTTTGACAGGTGTCTATTACTAGGGTACAAACAAGGCTACACGTGTTATATTCGCCTCTATCGAGAGACACACCTTAGGTGGCGTAACCGCCAACCATTCCGCTTGGACTCTTTCCCTATTACATGGCCTTGTGGCGAAGTCTTTGTTTGACACTGTGAAACGCCAGACTCTTCTTCAGGCTATGAGACTAAACCACGCAGAAGTTTCTAACTAAAGACGAAATTAGACAAGATTTGACCGTCCTATTCTACTCTAGGCCAACTATTGAGGTACTATCTAAGAGGACATGCCTCATCTATGACGGCTCGATTTGTAATATCTCGAATCCCCCCAACTTAAAGAGCGGTACTAGGTATATTACTGGTGTAGTAAAATTTACTATCAATCAGGCAGAATCGCGTCAAAATAAGTGCCGATTCTCTTACCACGCACCTCACCTTCCTATTGCCATAACTCAATCACATTATATCCTATAATTCAGAAAAAAAAGTCTAAATAAAAGCAAAACTTCATCTTTTATCGAAATATTTTTAAACCTTTTATTTCGGGTATTACTGTGTGGAAACCCTTTATTGTGTGAATTGCTGTATTAGGCACTTTTTTTGACGGCATTATGTCAGGTAAACTGAGGCCAGGTATTACAACTTCTTTTTTTTTTCGAAGTACATGATCGACTATCTAGATGTCCATTGCCTTATAAAGGCTCACATGTTGAGTGGACACAACATGGATGAGACTGCCATACTGCATGGCCAACCATTCCTACTCGGAAAGCTCTTTCTTTCCCTATTTCATCTGGTTTACTTCGCTCCCTTTGGACAACGCATCTAGTGTGTAGTAAATAATGAGAACAGTACGACCGGAGCAAAAACTCCATCTGCCCTCGTTACTTTGTACGCCAACTGGGTACGATAGCAGACAAATAAAAAGTGAAAGCAAGTCGAGACCTTAAAGGTCCCAGCATAAAATGCTCCTGTAATTCCACAAATTTGCGCGAAAATACTCTAGCGGCCTATGACTTGCAGACGACACGACCGAAGATCGTATCATGAGCCATGTTCATGGTTGCATCGAGTCCACTTTATTCGGAGGTAAAAGTCCAGAGTATACATTAGACTAGATTATACCTACCGTGCTTTCGAATTCGGTAATCTAGATTTGCTGATCTAGGCTTCAGTTCTCGATTATGAGTCGGGGAGAGGGTGCGGTTGGGAGGGTCGTTGGGGGATCCCCATAAGGGTAGGCTTGGTATCTGGTATTAATCGTACCGAGATTTTAGCTCCAGTTCAAACTCCGGCTCTGTCTTTGGCTTTGGCGGAGACTAAAGGTTTTGGCCTTCCCTTCGTCTCTACATTTTGCTGTTGCTTTTGGCGCCGTTTACCGCTGTACGGTTTCTTCGGACCGCCCCGATTGCCGTTCTCCCTCTTTGGCATATCTTGATCCTTGGTGCGGTCGATAGAAATACCACGGGGGCCAGAAGCGACGGTCTGGGACGAGGCGCTAGCGGCGGCTATTTGGCTGTAGAGAACGGGCTTCGGTGGTCCCGGGGGCGTAGGTTCTGTCTTTGTCTCCTCCTTCTTGTTGGGGAGTTTAACAACGTCGATCTTACTGTCAGCATCTACATCAAGTTCTACAGTAGCCTTTGGAGCGGTATTAATTGGTAATGGACTCGCAACTGAGGTCACTGTCGGGGAGGTAGCAGCTTTTGGAGAAGATGTGGCATCCGTCGACAAAGATTTCTCGTCAAATATAGTGGTGTTTAACCCTTTACCATCCTGGGATTCCTTGATGTCCTCTTCCTAGGAGGCATACATAGTGCTCCCGGCGGTATGTGGTTGGTTAGAGTAAGACGACCATTTGTGTTGTTGATGGTCATTCGTAGGCGCATTCTCACCTGTATTTTGAGATAGCTTTCTAGCTAGCCTGTTATCCCGGCGGCGCTCTGCTCTACGGCTTCTGTAGATAGGCTGCTCGTTGGTCCGGCTTTGCTGTGATGGCGGGGCGGGGCGTTGAGGGTATGGTTGGGGTACGTAGGTTTGCGCTGTCTGGCGATTCAAAATGCTAGACGGGGGTAGCTCGGAAGAGGTGAGGTGAAAAGAGGCTACTGGCCACGCAGGCGAAAGATGCCGTGCGAAGTGATCGATCGTGGATTGACTGAACAATACTGGATGGTCAGGATGGAAAGGGCGGACATCCGTCAAACCTCTAAACCCCATTAGCCAATTGCTGAACACCAAAGCGACGTTATCATCTGGTTCGATAGTCACCGCCAAACGAAGCATGCCTTCCAAGCTCGCGAGATCTTCCAGATATTTCTGCGACTTCTCTACCAAAGGGGTACCGCGATAGTCCATGTTTGAGCAGTAGTAGCAGTATCGTGCTGCGATGTGTCGTTCGTAACGTATCGTGCTTGGACAACCTGATCCTCTGGGAGGCACATCTGGACAGAAGAAGTTAATTGCGACGTATGCATCCTCGCAGACGCAACAAAGCCAGTGCTCTAGTTGACACATTTTCGTTCTTGTACTTGTAGTTTCTTTTGTAAATAGGTAGTTTGGTATTTTGACCTTTCCTTTAGTGGGGTTTATTGTTGGGTAAACGGTTCAGTTGAACAAAGATGCTTTGGTGACGAAAGGTTGTAGATATTATATCTTGTTGAGATGCCGGTGATGGTTATGGCGAGATAGAAGGCTAGAAAACCAAAGGGACAAGGCGAAATTAAATAACCATTTGGTTGGTCGGCTTGTAGCGAAATAGTTGCGTTGTTTCGCAACCACGTAGCTGTGAAGAAGAGAAGTTGATTCAAGACCGTGCATGTTGTTCTGCGATATTCTACTTGTTAGCCGACTCAGGCCTACCTGGCTAGTTTGGGCCCTGGAGCATTGTCACGAAACAATCTATTCAACCCGTTTATTGGTTCTGCACCAAAATAGCTTGGACCAGGTTGTACCAAAACAAATAAGTGACTCAATAGGCGAGTTGAAGGTTTGCCTCTCTTGGGTTGGGGGGAGACTCACCTAAACACTCCAGTTTGTGAGGATGAGAGGCACGAGGGAATCCATTGTTAGTGGTTACTCTGGTTAAGAGCCGTTGCTCTGAGCCATCATATCTCGTTCGCAAGACTGAAAAGGGGTACACATGATAAGCTACCATTCCTAGACTTCGATAAGTTTGTGCTGTATATTCCGAAACTCCCATGCATTAAAAATGGACAGTTTATGCGGTTGAATTGTTTCAAGTGAAATGATCAAATACCATCTTAACATTTTATGTGTGAGATCGATCCTATTTCAGCTATTCCACAACAAACGAAACAAGCTCCTATTCTCCCTCCCGTGCACCATCCTCGGAAGAAATGAACATTCTCCAAGAGTATTATATACAAAAATGCAGCCCCTTTTCCCTTCTTTGCATAAATTTCTCGTTGAACTTCAAAGTCACATAAAAAAAGATTGACTTGCGGATCATTGCAGAAGCCTAAACGTTGAGTCTTTATCATCTTAGTCTTGTATTGTTGCCTACTATAATGCCCTGTCAAAGAAAATCCCGAAAGGAAAAAGAAATTTAAAATCCGATCATAATCAAAATTCACACATCATCCGCAACAAAACTGTAAACTCGGAAGAACCCTCAACCACTTACAATATTTCAAGATTCGCCAGGGATCAGCCGTGATGTGCCGTATAGATACCGTGCATAGAGTCTCCTAGAAGACATTTAACTTGATAAAACAAAAAAGAACTCCGAATCGGGGAATCGAACCCCGGGCTTGGCGGATCCGTCAAGTTACGTGTTAATAACCATGAGAGCACCAAATGTTAGCCACTACACCAATTCGGATTATGCTGAATTGTGTTGATGAAGGTAATGTTTGCGTAAGGATGTTTATAATGAATTTTCTGGGTATGCCCTAATCTTGTTAGCGTCCACGATAGCATCTAATTTGTTTCCTACCTGGCACTCGATGTGGGCCAAACCATCGGAAAACTATTCTATAAAATCAAGAGCGCACGCTAAGGGCTTCTTCCATCGAATTTTGGGAAACTTCAAGAATTACTTCTTTTTTCTTTTTTTTACGGAAAATGCCAACAGCAATATTATATGGGTGGGAGTGCATTTGGTACATGGAGAACCAAACAATCGACCCGTTCGACGTCGATAAGCGGGACGGAAAAGGATGAAAACCTTGGGCGTTGTTTTCCAACCCTTTCCATTCAACATCCAAGGCAGCAACGTATTTCGGCGGAATGGAATATAAGACGGATAGTCCTTTGGGGATACCCGTTATAAAAGATAGGAGGTAGGTCTTGAGGTGGCTGGCGACGCTTTCACGCTGACGATGGAATACCGAATATAAAAAGGCAAAGGGATAATATGACGGCAATACACAGGTAATAAGGGGATTATATACTTAATGCCTCACCCTCGTATCGTCTCCTAGCAATAAGGGCTATTAGCATACAGAAGCACACCGACTTTCTCACTGCATGATGAAAATCTATGCAAATGTCTATACTGACTAGGTCGCTGTTGAAGTTAAGGAGCGTGGCTTGAGATGAACCGTATGTAATAAATAATGTAGACTATGATTTTCTTTCATATAATTACCTACCTAGTTGATATATGAGCAAAATTAGCGACAGCCTTGCGCCGGTCGACGGTGAAAGATGATTGGCGGCAAGTCCTAGGTATATGTAGGTAGGTATCTTATATTATATAATATAATAGAACTTACAAGGAACTCGGCTTATTAGTTAATAAGTGCATTTTTGGCAAGTTCTTATCTAACCCAATGATAATCTACTCATAAGATATAGGACGAGGAACATTATCTATATGCTGGACTACATGACTGTGGTATCGTTGGGGTGTTTCAATTCATGATGACAATTGTGATAGGTACCTATGATTCCCTTTAAAGTCAGTACGCACGAGCTCTCGATTAGGTATATGCCATGGACCATGGTAAAGAATCTTATAACCGAATGTGGGTATTCTTACCCCGAATTTATTGGATGCTCGTCATGAATTATACCTAAATGCGTAATAAGTTTACGGTCCCCACAATCTGCAACAAATCAACCATAAACCATAAGCTGCCTCCTGCAAACGCCACCGGTTTACTAAAGTGAGGTCCGTTTCCGATGCTGCGGCTATTCCATGAGGGGAACCTTCGACTTATCGAGAGGGGAAGCCTTCGAAGACCGAGACGGGAATGATGGGCCGTCATGTGGCATAGCAAGACATTGAGCGTGCCGTACGAAATGGTGCATAGGTACCTACCTAGGCAGGTATATATAACAGCTGCTTATATTTCCCCGCTATGTAACGGCGTGGCAACTTTGTTCGTAACCACTGCTCATCATATAATCTATATTTGACCGGTGTCCCCCTCATTGTTCCAATCCCTAATCTTTCTACGTTTACTCGACAACACTACACCACGAATCGACATGGAGCTTCCGTTAAGGAAAGACTTGCGGCCCAAATCCGGCGAGCCCGAAGATTCCGCATGGATATGGGGAAGCGATGATGAGGTGTGTTGGCTCTTATATCAAGCCAACTAGAAACCTATCAAGTAGCTGCTGACATGCTCCCAAGTTAGGTAGATTAAACTTGCAAACACCGGAAAGGGTGAAGAAAGCTTTGGAAACTGTCTCTTATGGAGAGGTTATCCCGCTTGGGTCGGTGGAAAATATTTTCAAAAAGTATAGCAATGCTTGGTTACTGATTCATGTATAGTCTTCCGTTTGACCAAGTCGCGCCGCCCTGCTATGGGCGTCAGCCTTTCAAGCATTCTATTCATGCCTTGGGAACAGTCGCATTTGACGACGCTTATGATATGAACCCTCAGAGTACTTCCCAGTGGGACGGATTCCGACATGTGAGTCTAGACTGGGCCTACGGAAGACAGTCTTCGGGTAGAGACTAACACAATGTAGTTTTCCCATATCCCTACAGGGTATTTCTATAATAGGGTAGGCGTGCCTATTTGTCACGATTCTTATACCATTTAGCCTAACCTCTGCCACCTAGACTACTGGTAAGGATATCCAAGGCGACAATGCTTCAACCAAATGTGGCATTCAAGCGTGGGCGAAGCGCGGCATTGCGGGTCGAGGTCTACTTCTGGACTATGCTCGCTATGCTGAAGCTAACAATATCAAGCCGGTTTATTATGATAACTTCAAGATTACCCACAAGGATCTCGTCAATGTGGCACGCTCTCAAGGGATCGACCTGAGGCCGGCTGCCCAAGGAGGTGATATACAGATTGGTGATATCCTGGTTGTCAGATCTGGTTTCCTGAAGAACGCCAACTCGCTTACATACGAGGAGAGGGCTCCTCATCATCTGGGAGAGAATAACTTTGGGCCCCACGATGGGCAGCGTTATTTAGGCGTAGAGCAGAGCGAGGAGATTCTCGATCTGCTGCATGATTCTTACATCTCAGCCGTAGCCGGAGATCAACCCGCTTTTGAAGCATGGCCTTCCGAGAAAGGTATGTCGATCCTATCGCTTTATGAAGACGAATAGGAAGGTTGCTGATGTATTCTACTCGACGATAGATTATTACCTTCACGAGAAGCTCCTTGCTCTTTGGGGAGTGCCTATCGGGGAACTCTGGGACTTGGAGAAACTTGCAGAGAAGTGTGCCGAGAGGAAACAATGGGCATTCTTCCTCTCAAGTGCGCCAAACCACGTAAAAGGTACGTAGTTCGAAGGTATAAAGAATATTGGTAACTAATATGAATATGTAGGAGGAATTTCGAGTACTGCTAATGCCGTAGCCATCGTATAAGTTGAACGACTTCGCCTACATACATGGTGGATAAACTTGGCTATGAGAGAAAAAAAAAAAAAGACTAAAATAAAATAAACCTTGTTTGATCGCATTTTTTCATTTGTAAAAGGTACCTAGGTAGGTACTCTATATCAATGAGGCATCATATAAAATATCGATGTTGGGCAGATGTAAGATGAGATGATGGTAATTAAAGGTTGAAGAATTATTTGTAGTCTTTGATTGGTCGATGAATTTGTAGTTGAGCAGTGGAGTACCAGAATTCCTAGGAGGTACTAGGTACGCAGCTACGGGGCATTTATGTAACTTCCCTTACGATATAAATGGCCTTTATCTACATGTGACATTTCTCTTATCGAGCTGACCAAGCTCGACGCTTGGACCAATCCAATTCAAGGTGCAAGGCAGCGCGAGCTTTCGTCGCCTCGCAGCCGCCTTAAGCTTCCCTCCATCATCAATCGCTCGTAAATATTTCACCTCTATATTTCACCACCAACTACCCATTCAAACGTAACCTGTTATAAGTCTGCCTTTACGAGTTATACAAGCTATCTGGACTTGGATTAACTACCCATCGGCCATATAATACGCTGATAACAATAAAGTTCGGAAATCATGGCGGACGCAGCTCTGAAGCCCGAGAAGGACTTCAGCAAGGAAGCTGATGCACAAATCAGCGAAGCAGAGAAGCTTGCAAAGGTTGCACATATCTCCGTTGCAAAACTCCGAATATTTGATTGCTAATGCTCCGTTATAGAATGATATCCAAGCAGCTATCGAAAAGCTTACCATTTTCGAGAAGCAAACCCGACAGGTGGCCTATTCTCTCAAGTCCACGATATTTCAGCACCGCTAATTATTATACCTTTCAGGCTTCCGATCTCGCCTCTACATCCCGAACTCTAATTGCGATATGTACGATCTGCAAAAATGCAGGAAACTGGAGTTTACTCAACGACCAGGTTTTGGTCCTATCCAAGAAGCATGGCCAGCTCAAACAAGCCATCACTAAGATGGTTCAGACCGTTATGGACTTCCTCGACGCCACTCCGAACCTGGAAACCAAACTATCAGTTATCGAAACTCTGCGTACCGTAACCGAGGGCAAGATATTCGTCGAGGTTGAGCGAGCCCGCGTGACCAAGATTCTGTCCGATATCAAGAAGCAGCAGGGAGACCTCAAGGCTGCGATGGATATCCTCTGCGAACTACAGGTAGAGACCTTCGGTTCGATGGAGAGGCGGGAAAAGACCGAGTTCATACTTGCTCAAGTCGCACTATGCATCGAAAACGGCGATTGGACACAAGCTGGCATTCTTAGCCGCAAGATTAGTACCAGATATCTGTCTCGAAAGCCGAAGAAGACCCCGGAACAGCTAGAGAAGGAGAAGAAAGTTCGCGAAGAGAAGTTGAAGCGTGGTGAAGAAGTCCCTCCAGAGCAAGAAGACGACATTACCGACCTGAAGCTTGCCTACTATGGACAGCAGATCACCCTGGCGAAACACGATGACAAATATCTTGATGTCTGCAAACATTACAGACAAGTATTGGATACCGAAGCGGTCGAGGAGGACCCTTCGAAACTACAACCCGTATGCCACCTTAGTATCTAATAGGATGATTTATGCTAATTCTGATCAGGTTCTGCAACGTATCATCTACTTCGTCATACTCGCCCCCCATGATAACGAGCAGCATGATCTTCTCCAACGTATCTACCGTGATACACGAAATACACAAATTCCGGTTGATGCGGCGCTTCTTAAGTTATTCACAGTGCATGAGCTTATGCGATGGCCAGAGGTCGCAAAACAATATGGCCCTCATTTATGTGAAACCGATATCTTCGACGAACGTCCAAGCCAATCCGGTGATGAGAAGGCCCACCAGCGATGGCAGGATCTACGCAAACGTGTCATTGAGCACAATGTCAGAGTGGTCGCGAAATACTACACTCGTATCGGTATGAAGCGCCTAACTCAGCTACTTGATTTGACGGAGGATGAGACGGAGAAGTATATTAGCGAACTAGTAT